AAAATAAGAAAAAGTTTAGTTTAATTGATATCGACGTATTTAACTTCATCTTTCCTCATCAGACGTCTCTAGTAGCATACTCTGGCAGTTATTCTCCTATAATTGTCAGAGTAGTCGGTGCATTTTGATTTAGTTTGAGTCTTCTTACAAATTCCTTCTGATGACGGGTAGACCCAGAAACACGTGTCAGGAACTGGTAAGAGACTCAAATTAAATCGAAACGCAACCTTATTTGTATTAAAGTATATTAGAATACTTTACTCGATTCGAAAAAATACAATTAGATCTTCAGAACCCTAAATTCAAAAATTCAAAGTAATAATCCATGTTCTTGCTAGACACAACTCGCCCTATATATATCGTCTATAAAATAGACAGACTCGACAGACCACATACAAATTCTAAGAAAATGTAGAGGGAATGGTCAGTTGCATTGTCTAGATTTCTCGGACTTATACTAGAGATATATGTAGGGTATACATAAAAGATATTTCAAATTGCAGTGTGGTAAGGTCTGTGAAGTAAAAAATCGAACTGAGGTGGAAAGAGCAGTCTTGGGTTTTGGTAGCGTTAGGCTTTAGTAGGTTCCTGTCATAGTAAATAATAAGGTCCGGAAGTGGCAACTGCAAACTCGTCAGCATACATAAAATGCTCGGCAGTTTTAATGATTGGTTGGTAGTGTACACGTTAAATAGCTTCGGTGATAGCAACCTGCGCTAGAATGCGACTGGTATCCTGGTTTCTACTATCAATGTTTTGACAGTCCTGACGGTTCTTGTAAAAATAGCGCTGTCGTGTCTTCCGTGAGGGATTTCAATGGCACGGTATATATATCCCCTCAATATTCGGTCGTCTCTGCTTCTGGTTGTGGTGCGTTTCCTGGACGCACAAGATGTCACATGTAGAGGTTTTGCAATATGCGAACTATACCTTTTTTCTCATCAGTAATTCTTTCGATATTGATTATCGTCAGAAATGGCTTTGGAAAATCTGTGTTTGATGAGAGTCATTCATATTGAGCTCTTTAGTCATAATTTATTGTAACGATGTTTTTGTTGTAGGCTACAAATACATTAATTGTTCGTTATATAAATCTGTCATGTTTAAAATAATTTACACCTTTTAAACTGGCATTAATGATATTAAAGATAACACTGATAACAGCACTTTTCGAAGATATATAATATAATCTCTTATTTACTTATAAACGTACCTTTGTTTGTTTTACCTGTTTTGAAATTTAAATGCAAAATATTGATATAGAGTTTAAGAATTGTCATTATGTTAAATTATGTATATATATATATATATATATATATATATATATATATATATATATATATATATATTTATAAATATTTGAATTAAATAATTATACAAACAGTAGAGGGTTGAAAATGAAAATCTGGATCAGTTGGAACCAGATCCCATCCAGATTACTGATTTATGGGGAGTTTCAAACTTTCTTTAAGCTACTTTGTATTGTTATTTCATTAACAAAATTAATGCTTAGAGTATCGTGTACGTTTAAATGAAACCAGGAATAATTACAAAATGGAGGTTTGAGGGCTTATAAATACAAAAGAAGTTAGTGAAAGGACATAATAATGATAACAATACCTAATATAACACTTAACTAAGAAAGTCAAAACCATATCGATATAGATAACATTTATTTGAGTGATAACTTTATTGTTGTTGGCGCTTGTTGGCATTTTTAACCAGTTCATTGCAGTTTCCAAAACATTGTATTGTATATTGATCCGCATGTGAAGGAGAAGTAGTTCCGTGGTTGTTGTAAAACAACAAGTTATTAATATTAATTGATTTTTCGTTTTCAGAAATATTGGCTTGAATCTAATGTGACAGACTGTACTTCTTGTCTACAAAATATTTGTTTCATAAGTGCCTTATAAGGGCGTTCGGTTATAACCACTGACGTCGGCCTGACGGTCCTTTTAGACAAAAATTAATTGTAGTAAAAATAATTAATTGCAGATGAGCATTGTGTGCAGATGTAAGTGTGTGTTCCCAAGTTTATAGTCGAATGTGTGGCTGTTTGCGGTACTCGGTACGCTATCTCTTCATCTCAAAATTACAGTGAAAAGTGAAAAAGTTATCGCTATATTCGCGCGCCACAAAAACACCGGTATAAATAATGAATAATGTGGTAAAGCAACCTGTTTTATTAATAATAGCTGTTTTGTTAATATTCTTTTGTTACTAAATGTGAACTATCGATCGATTACGCTTTATTTTTCTCTAAGAACTCGATAAAACCAAACACATTAGGAATAGTCATCGCCGTGAAGTCTGCTTACGTATATCGAAGGAATGTTATATATATATATATATATATATATATATATATATATATATATATATATATATATATATCTTTATGTCTATATATATTTAACAGCGCTACAGGCCGTGTAGGCCCTTGGCTTCTAAATACTTGGGTATTTCCCCTCCATTTTTTATGAGTGACTGTAGATGGCAATTGACGGCTTTTAAAAACTTTCCCTCTTTCCCTCTATTTTTTTCGTTTCCTTGCTTTCTCACGCGTATTTCTGATAAGTCTTGCTTTACCAACCATATCTTCTTTGGACGTCCTCTACTTTTTTCCCCATTTTCCTTCCTTAAGTATTGTTTTAGCATTTCGATTCTCTGGCATTCGTATTATGTGACCAAGCCATCTAGCTCTTTGGGCTCGTATTTTTGCCGTAATTGCTGGTTTTTCATATATCCTTATTAGTTCTTTATTCGTTCATCTTCTCCAAATATTCTCTGCCGTCTTTATTCCTCCAAAGATTTTTCTGAGCACATTTCTTTTCCAGATCTCTACTTTCTTTTCTTCTTGCTGGTTCATAATGGCATACATTACTGTGGGTCTAATTACTGTCTCGTATACTCGCCGTTTAGCTGTTCTTGACACATTTTTTGCTTTCAGTATGAATTTAGTGACTATATCGCTTTGCTTCCCTTCATTAATCTTTTGTCTCGTTTTATTTTTTTTGTGTTCTTTATGGTTACTCCTAAATATTCAAATTCTGACACTTTTTCAAAACTGTAGACAGTCTCTACTCCTTTTATTTTGATATATTTGTTATTATTTGATGTCTTTTCTCATTTCCATATATTGAGTTTTCGTTTGGTTTATTATTAAAGTTTTTTTGTTCTCGCTAGTATCACATCATCCGCGTACGCTATGTACTGTTCCCTGCTATTCAAAATAGTCCTGTTTGTGCTCATATTTGATCTTCTTAAGATTTGTTCTAATACTAGGTTGAATAAATTCGTTGATAGCGGATCCACTTGTTTTAATGTTACCAGTCCATGGTCCTAAAATATTTGGTACTGTACATGCTGAGAAAAGGAATTTAATAAGCTTTCCCCCAACAATTCGTGGAGATTACGGCAAAGTTTCATCAGTGGTCATTCATTTCTTTGGTCATTAGCTTTGGTTACAAGTTCTTGTCCCTAAGTACTTGATTCACGATTTCGTCATCATTACAATGCTGATAACCGAGGTTATTAGTACTATTATTTTAAACCAATGTCTTGCATCAAGTTCAACGTATTGTTAAATTCCAGGCAATGTTTGGAATAAACCCATATCTTCGTCTGTAGTTATAGTATCAATCTTCCTCCGTGCTTTCAGTGCTGGTCTTTCCTTGTCCTGTTTAAAGCTAAAGGGGTCAGCTAAGGTAGCCTAATCATCAATTTTGTTTAATACTCAAGGCTCAGATAAATTATATTAGTATCAATACCTAATAAAAAACCTTACATTTCTTCTTGTGTTTTTTTCTGAATTTTTTCTTTCTTTTTTAATGAAAATAACCATTTACAATGCGATAAAAATTGTTTGTTTTTTTTACTAAAAGATGTAATTTATAACTTTTTCTTTAAAAATCTTAAAGCCAGGTGCTAACTTTTCTCTACGAAAAACTAGTGACTTCCGGGAGAGAGAACGCCAGGTTAGACCAGTTTTATCAACATTATAAATAGCGTCTCTGTTGTAGCCCTGTTCAATAGCCATGTTGATTAATTTTTCCTTAAACATCAATGCAGCAGCATTAATAATAATTCCTCTTGAATATCCAGTTCCCTCATTCCATGCCTGGTTTTAAGATTTTTGAGCCAACCGGAGCTTACTTTAAAGGTTTTAAATAAAGTCCAGGGACACGCGAGCCGAGGAGACTGTCTAGGTTGGTGAACTCTTAAGGTCCCACTTCAGTAATTTTCCTCGCATACACGACAGCCGAGCGCCCTGTTTTTTAAGCCGAGTGCCATATACGTTGCAACACTTCTGTGAAAAAATATGCTTTGCTGGATACGATTTGGATTTGCGAAGCTCCGAATTTTTGACGTCGGGATTACTGAGATTCTACTGTATAGACACCAAACAGCTCTTCTTATGGTCCTGTTCTTGAACACATTTAACTTGAGTTTTTTATTCAGATCTGGAGCTTGGACATCAACGAAGATATTTTGACATTACTACTGTAACATTCTACTGTCACTTATTAATTAAAATACGTAACTTTTCATTACTTAAATTATTTCCCTAAATATTTTCATTTTTTGGTAAACTTAGTAAACATTTTCTATTTATTGGGAAATATACACACAGAGATGTCTTTAGAAGCATTATCGTAAGATGGCATTAATGAATTCAGTACTCCCAATATGTATTAATAGCTAAATATGTTCTGTGTTTGGTTAGTCTGAAAATAAGACAAATATAGTATGGTTGGAAGAAAGATAAACATTTTTTGAGGTTCTCAAAATACTTTCTTATTGTTTTTATTTAAATATTTGCTTGTATTATGGTTTATTAGTATCGTATTAATATCGATACACAATTTTCCCCAATAATGGAAAACCTCAAGTAATGTAGAAGGCACCTTCAGAAAATAATAACTTAAACCAGCTGATTCTTACTTAAAACGTTTCTGCGTTTACGTTTTATTACTAGACTTTTTTTTTTGTTTTAGATGGTGAGGATAGCAGAAACGAAAGAAGGTCTTTTGGATTTAGCAGATTTAGAAAACCAACTGAAATTTTATCAAAATGCGGGCAGACAGATAATAGGATGTTTCTCTGTGGCTTCCAGTGTTACCGGTATAGTTATCGACGATGTAGCATGTACGATCCTTCTTCACCAGTATGGGGCTTTGTCCTTTTGGGATTTCAACATCGGTGCACCCAGTTTACTCATCGATATGAACCCAAACGTTCCTGGTGTTCAAGAAAATACCTCATCATCAGCATACAAAGATGCTATTTACTTTTCTGGACATAAATTCGTTGGAGGAGTTCAAACAACTGGTAAGTTGATCCATAGTTACTGTTGACAAGATTATTTCACATCTGAAATTAAGTAAATTTTATTACAAAGAGTAGACGAAATCGGTAGCTCCTGGATAAGTGTATTTGTCTGTAAAGTGAATAACCTTGGTTCGATGCCTACGACAAACAGAAAACCAAAGAGTATTACTAAAATCGTTTCTCAGAAGCCTATGTAAAATCACCGAGTGGTAATTTGCATAGTACAGCCCCTCTACACTTAATCGTTTAGAATCTACATTGAACTGTAGGTCTCGTGTGTATGTGTATACTAATGATACAACCTGTGGAGGAGGGACCTACAATTGGAAATGGTGATGGTAATGGAAAACCACGAGAAAAAAAAACAAATGAAAACTAAAACGATCCAATGTTATTAAATCAACATCTGTTCCCCTTTTTTGGTTTATTGTTCCAAAATTTATACTGCAAATAAGTAGCCAGAGAAACATTTGGAACAAATGTAGAGAATCGAATTTTCTTTGTAAAAGTGTTTGTCATATTATGAAACCTACCAGAATACACAACCAGGTTTATTAATAACTGTAAATTTCAGTCAGTTAATTTGTCTTACCTTCTGTTTTATCAACTATCTATTGGCTTTGATACTTTGATACTTGATATGCTGTTCTTTGTTTAAGTGCATGTATTTAAATGCCTAAATGCCTAAACGCCTAAATGTTTAATATGCGTTATTTAGGTTATACTGTCATTAGCCAATTTAGTATACACTTTGATGGTACACAAGGCAAATATCGAACACAGTATTTAATCAAATCTTGCCCAAGCACTTTCGATCACAAGATCATCTTCAGGGGCATTTCGTCAGTTGTGGCCTATCCAGCAGTAACAGAATGTCATAAATGTAAATTGCGCATTCTGTCTCCGGCTTCTATATAAAATGTAGCTTCTCCAATTTTAAATTTTAAAGTGTTTGTTTGTCTTTGTTTAGTGTATTTATTATGTCCCAATTTACATTTATGACATTCTGTTACTGCTGGATAGGCCACAACTGACGAAATGCCCCTGAAGATGATCTTGTGGTCGAAAGTACTTGGGCAAGATTTGATTAAATACTGTGTTCGATATTTGCCTTGTGTACCATCAAAGTTCATTTATTCGAACATTCAACCTTATATTGTTTATTGAATTTAGTATGCGTTCTAGACCGTTGCTCTCTGGTGGTCAGTATGCTAATCGGCCATTGTAGACTCAAGCGGTACCTTCATCTGCTTGGATTAGCGAATGGTCCACGGTGCCGTTTTTGTGATGAGGAGGATACCTCCTCACATGTCCTCTGGAAATTTCCAGCACTGGCATACCAGAGGTGAAGATCCTGGGTTTGGCCTTTATGTAACCGAGCCAAATGAGGGAGTTGCCCTTAAAGAGACTTGTAGCTTTCTTTCTGTGAGGTCACAAAGTTACTAAATGATTAGACGTTCGGAATAACAACAGCTCAGATTTGAAGCTCCTGCTGATTATAGCAAATATGGGAGCGCGGAGCAGCTTGGGTTCCAGAAACGCCGAACACCAGGTCCTTAAGGGCCTAGTCCGTATGATAGGGGTGATACAATGGACCCGCCTTAGGAGGTCTAAGTGTCTAAAGGGCTCACAAATGGGTCCTGCCCCAATCTATCATAACCATTGTCAGGTCATTATACTCTCTATTTCTATATCTCGCTACCTTTATGAAATTCTTTGTATTTTTTGTTTGAATTGCTCATATCTACTTCTTTTAGCTTCAGAAGATTTCTCATTACTTCCTTTGCCATACTGTGTTTTACCCCCGCTTCATCCTTCAGCCTTCTACGTCACACTACTCTGCATTTCGTTCTGTTTCCTTTCCTTCTATTACTTGTCCCGCCGCTTTTATGTTAAAGCTTGTAATATATTGCCATCGCTGTCATCGCACTATTTGTATATCTCCTCCACTAGTTCCTTCTCTATTATCCTTTGTTTAGACACTTTTAGATCTCGATAGCCTTCATTGACTATGACTAAAATGGGGTCAAAATAATGCCGGATTGTAATAAACGAAGACGCAGCTAAAATAAAAGTGAAAACTACCACCATTCTTTTATTTTGGTAAACTTTTTGCCACGTTATTTAGATCTAGAAAGTAAGTGAATAAGTTAGCAGCTGATTAAATGCTAGGAAATCTGTTGTAGAAAGAGTTGAAGTTGGAAAATGAAAATATTCTTCGAAAATAAAAAGAAAATTACTATCCATGCTCCTAAAATCAAGCTGTTATACCTTCTAACGTTGCTGATATAAGAAGAACTGGCTTCAAATGTTAAGGTTGGAAAATTAGAACTGGATTAGGTAACATGAGTTGTATTTATTGTAAAATGTAGCAGTATCACGCTTATATAATATAACTAAGGTTTTTGTTGCAGGTTTATTAATTGCCAAAAAAGCTATATTCAGGCGGCTGAATACATGTGAACCTGATGGATTTTTCGTAACCAGTGACCATGATAAGGTAAATAACTTTTGCAATATTGATATTTTTTCAGATATTTAAAATAAGATCATTAAAGTATATAAACCCTTTCCATAGTTGTTTCAACTGTTCGTTCAAATATTGGTGTTCACATATCTGGGTATTAAAATCTGTTAAACTTCCTACTCGTTTGCGTTTGTTATATGGTTCGAAGTATTGTTTAGTGGTCCATGTGCGTTGGTTTACAATAAAAGTTTTTAAGTGGAATCGCGCTCAACTAAAAATTATATTATTAAAATGGGATAGTTCCCGTATTCATTCAGTCTCGTATTCATATTCGTATTAGTTCCCGTATTACCGTTATTATTACATCGTACATTAACCAAATTTTAACTCATCCAGGCTTCTTCTTCAGATCTTCTTCTGTATATCTTGAACAGTTTATCTCATATTTTCATAATTCAATTGCCATTAAACTTCTCTAAAATCTTCTTAATACATATTCATAACATTTCACCAAACAATAGATATTTTTTTTTCATTCCTAATCTCTTAGACCGTGATTGATTTTATATCCAATCATACAATGTAATGTCACATTCATACATTGTACTGACACACCTTTACTTCAGGAATCATTAAGTTCTCTTTTTCTTTAATAATTTTTCCTTCGATTTCACAATTTGGATCATCAACTTACGCCATGTACTATAATTCATTCATTACGATCACTAACACATTTTATCTTATGACCTATTCAATTATTTACTATCTCTTAGCATCGATAATCGTAGAAAACCCTCACTTTTTCAATTAAATTCAAATAATCATTATTTTAAAGCCCTTTTATGTTCTGCTATACGCTTGTTAAAAGTTCTATCTGTTTGACCAATATAAGTTTTTGGACAGTCGCCACATTTAAGTTTGTATACACTACTGTCTAAGTGCTTTTTCTTTTGGCTCTTGTTGTTATTAATATATTTGCCCCATTTGTTGTTTGTTCTAAAAGCTGGTATTATCCTGTCTGGTCCTTTCTTTTTCATGAGATTGACTATTTTTGTTGATGTCTGTATTATATAATCGAGCAGAAGGTACTTGACTTTTTTTCTCTGGTGGTGGAAATACTAATTTCAGTGCTTTATGTAGTTTATGATTTAAATCTATCATATAAATGTTGTATAATTTAGTCTTTAATGTTATATAAAATGAATTTTCATCAAGTAACGGTCGAATCAATCATTTAGATATTTAAAGCATCCCTGGAAGACAACGAGCGTACTGAAAAATGGAGAACGTTTGAATAATTTTATATTTGAAGATGACATAATTTGCAAGGTCTACAGACACTAAGTATTAAGGTAGCAGAAACGAGTCAAGAATACGCCCCCAACTAAAAAAACACAAGATGTATGATCGTTAACATCACCACAACAATCAATAATCAATTCACTTCCAATAACACCAGGTAACAGGTGGTCTATTTGGGTATCAATATTATTATCACATACAACACTAACCGAAGTATCACTTAAACTTTTAGATAGTGTTGTTATAGAAGAATATTGAGAATCTGCTGATTGATCGTATGAAAAAGTTAAGTCGTGAGAAGACTCAGCAAGGCTCATTCCACTGTGTAGAAACGCTAGTTACACCATTTGGGTCACGTAATTAGAAATTAACAGCGCTATAGTCTACTTACTGCAGCTTACAAACCAAGAGAAGCCCAAGGCAAAAAAGGTCCGGACAAAAAATCCTCTGAAATCTGATAGATAGTGGTTTTATTGTCTACCACTGGAAACAAAAAAATCTCGTCGCTAAAATGGAATCGGGCAGAACACGTCGTCAGATTATCAGATAACCAATGGACAAAGCGTATTTTCGATAGGAGACCAAGACAAAGAAACACTATGGAGCAGAGGACGCTCACCAACCAGAAGGACTGACGACTCAAAGCGTGTTAGCAATAACTGGATGTAAAAGACAAATGGAACAGACAAATGGAAAGAGCTGAGGGAGACCTACGTCCAGAAGTGGACGCATACAGGTTGATGATGATGATGACTGGACTATTTAAAGCAGCATCAAACAAAGTGAAAATATCCACATTAGTCGCAAATATGCTTAGCGGATTGGTATCAGGATGAACTATTCACTACCTTTATCAATAAGTCCTATAGGTATTTACATCATCAAGTTTTCTGAGGCCTTCGATATTTTGGGATCTATTTTTGTCTATTTTTGGGATCTATTTTTTCTTAAATATCTCCATACGAAAAATCTAAATTGTTTTTCACCAACATTGTATAAGCTGGTGGTGCACCAATTACTCAATAGTGTATGTTATTCAATATAGCAACTAGTAGCATGTTGTTGTTTAACATTTTTCACATAAAAAACATATTTCTTTTTTACAGAGTTTTGATATGCAAGAAGATGGAAACTGTGCAGCTGTAGTAGAATCAATTCGAGCAGGTCTCGTCGTTCATCTAAAAGAAACTGTTCAAGTTACCAATATCATCCAGCGCCAAGAAAAAATTAATAAGTAAGTTAAAATGAAATTTTGATTAACTATTTAATGAAGAAGTACTTGTGGAATATTTCATAGAAATTAAAAATACTACTGTTGTTTACTTTTGTCATTTGTCACTTTATTATGTCACTTTAAACATTTTTCTTGACGGTAGCGTTGCTGCTAGGAATGCAATATGAAGTACCTGGATAAAATACAAATAACATAATACAAAACTGATGACAGTTATTAGGTCAGAACAATTTAAAATTAATATAAAAATGACTTAAATTTGCCTCTAATTGGTCGTATTATTTATTCCTGGTAAATGCTAAGTGGATCAATTACTTAAAATATTAATCGATATTATCAGTACCGGTGCCAGTTCGAGTAAAGAAGTAGGGTCAATAGGTCAGGTCAACACCCGAATCAAATAAATAATTAAGAAAAATTGACATAGTTTAAATATTATTTTAATAATATATATATATATATATATATATATATATATATATATATATATATATATATATATATATATATATATAGAAAAGAAATTTAATCTTTGCAGATAAGTTAAATAGTAAACTCTTAAATATTGGGGAAATCTACAAGAAAAACTCTAATGTGTATCAATTGTTTCGCCGAACGTTTTCGCCAAAGAGAATTAATTTGGCTTCTTCAGGGCTGAAAGAGAATAAATTATAATTAGCTACCATATATTATCTAATAAAAAACAGTTACCTTACCGTAAATTTTAGAAATGTCGAGTAAGGATGTTAAAAAACTTAGCTAGTAACAACATAGTGGTGTTTTTTTGTTACTATATGAAAACTATCAATAAATATTTTTCATTACCTTATTTCAGAGATATCACTCCGGGGTTAACAAGGATTCTAAAAAGTGTTGAAAATAGCTTTGGGAATAATAATAATAACATTAAACTTAATGTGGCTTGTAAATCAGCCCTAACAATTAATAATATTTATTCGAAGATTAAAGATAAGACTCCCATAGATAGGCTTAGTAATATTGTCTACAACATTCTATGCCTCTCTTGCAGCAATTCCTACATCGGCCAAGCATATCAATTATTGAAATCACGTATTACACTACACAAAAGTGATTCTCGACTTCACCCTGACCGCTGTGCATTAGCCAAACATGTCCATTCCAGTGGTCATTACATGGACTATACGAACACTACAATTCTCCACCGTGAGAACAATAAATCTAAAAGAGAGTTCATTGAAATGTCTTATATTTTCCTTAACGATTTTTCCATCAATGTTAAGAGTGACATTAAGAATCTAAGCGATATATACCACTTCTTACTTAAATCAGATACCAAGAACAATATAACATCACAGATAACTAACTTGACTGATATATCTATTAACAACTAACCTACTTTAAAAATAATTTTCATAAAACTAAAAAAGATAACATTCCCTTGATTTTCTTAGATACATCTCATTAAGATATTATTATAATAATACATGAACAATATACTAATTAAAAAAGAATTTCAATTGAGAAAATTCTAAACTAATATCTCCCCAGACTGGGATCTAACTTCATCGGTTTTACCAATGAACCTTAACGACATAAATATTCAAAAGCACTACTTGTAATTGTCAGCGCTTGCGTTCTATGAAAACAGAACCTCACATTCAAACTTTATAACAATCAAAAATTTAGTTATTGCCGACAATTCAAAGAATTATTTCCTTTAAATGTAGTTACATTGGGTTTTTCGATTAACCTTGGGTAAACCTTTGCGTTTTAAGTTCAAAGCTACCATACATTTCCAACGTTAACAAAAAAACTGTTTTGCACATAGTAACAAAAAAACACCACTATGTTGTTACTAGCTAAGTTTTTAAGATCCTAACTCGACATTTCTAAAATTTGCGGTAAGGTAAATGTTTTTTTATTAGATAATATATGGTAGCTAATTATAATTTATTCTCTTTCAGCCCTGAAGAAGCCAAATTAATTCTCTTTGGCGAAAACGTTCGGCAAAACAATTGATACACATTAGAGTTTTTCTTGCAGATTTCCCCAATATTTAAGAGTTTACTATTTAACTTATCTGCAAAGATTAAATTTATTTTCTCGTATATATATATATATATATATATATATATATATATATATATATATATATATATATATATATATCAAATAAACTTCATTTTAAAGTAAAATTGTGCCTCATTCCTATCATAAGTTCTAAATCGCATTAAAGATTCCACAAAACATAACTGCAGAACAATATTTAGAGAAGAAGCTGATAATATGGAACGTAAATCCTTTTTCCTACGTAAATTTTTTTGTTTTTTTCTGGATCGACAAAAACTAATTCAACTTATTAATCAACCCGTTGTGTGATTGAAAAATTGATTACTAAGGAAATTAACATACTGAAAACAGTTTCAAAAAGAAATACAAAATTCTGAAAAAATATAATTTTCACTCGCCGGAAAAAGTGATGATAATATGGGCCTCTGAAAGTTGATCTAAAAAGATATAGATTCATACTAAAGTCAACAAAAATTAAAAGTTTAGGGTTCTAAAACCAATAATACATATAACTATCAACAAAAATCATAAACGTAGTTGTCTTTTTCGTAGTCAGCACAGTCACAATGGACCCTATTTCGCACCTAGTAGTTCAACTTTTGTCTCAGGAAATTTTCTTTCGCAGGAAATACAAATTGTATGATCCACAAGGAAAACAATTCCTGTAGCTGGCTGTATACCACGTATCACAAAAAAGAGGTTAGTCTTCGTAAATGGGTATATTTATTTATTAAATAAATATACCCATTTACGAAGACGAACCTCGAAATTGTATGATGTTTTGAATTGGGTACTCTCCCAAAAAAATTATCTTGACCACTAGATGAGCTAGAAACAAAGCTGTCACACCCTTCTTCAAGTTATTCTGATTCTTGTTTTGCATTTATTCTTCTCTTTTTTTGTCCGCTTTTGTTAAGAGATGTGTTCTTCCGCGGCTGTTGATAATAGTCGCGGCAGAGAAAGCTTTGCGACCTCTATTGTACACTTTTCTTTTTGGTTTAGGAACCGGAGTAATGTCAACCGGCAAAATTACCTCTGGGATTGAAATGGGAGGTGAATTACGATCAGCCGGTACACGATTGTCGTCTCCATCGGAGGCAGTTAATGACTTCTCTTACAGTTCCACTGCAATGAAATCAACATTTGAAAATTCTCCGATTGCCAGGAAATATTCCGGTCTTAGAAAAACCATTGATCGCCTAGAAACATGCCTGGTTCAACAGCTCTGCGATATCATAGGGTCCTAGCCGCCGCTCATTATGACGCATCACAAAGCAAACAACTTCACTATAATGGGTTTTTAGTACCCTCATAAACATTTTATCTAAAGGTTGGAGTTTATGTGTTGTATGCGGTGGCATGCATACTATGATGACATGATTTTAACGGACTAGTTCTATAATTGGAATGTTTCGTGGTTAAAGTGGTCCTATCTACTTACCACTAAGGCACATTGTTTACATGCTGCGAAATTAGCAGCCACTACTGCAAATAGTTTTGTGACGTGTGTACCTATTACCATAGTTTCGCGCCTTACATATATAAGTCACTGGACGTTTCCAAATAAACGAAGAGTTCCATGAGCAGGTTCCATATTACCACCTTCACCTTTTTAAAATGTAGACAATTAACAAGAACCGATTCTTTTTCTCAAAAAAAAAAATAAATCGCGTCTTAAAATTAGTTTAAAGAAAAGTAACTGCCAACAGATCTTTTATTATTTTTAAAATATGGTACAAGAAGATCAACATAATTGTAAGTACTTTTGAATCAATTTGTAACCTATTTTTTTCAGTACTAATAAGGAAACTGTAAAAGTTCAGTTTAAATACATGAACTCCATGAGCTCTCCACAAAATTTAAACTTATTTCTGATAAGTGAAACAAATAAAATTCATGTGATGTTAAATCTAAGATGACAGGTAGATAACCTATTATTCGATATTTTGAATACTGCAAAAAGCGCTTGATTAAGTTGGATTTCCACAATTTTCAAAATAATTTTGGTCAAGAATCATATTGTTTATTCCTTATAAAAGGTCTACTTCAGGCGAGAACTGTACAAGAGTCAGTTGAGAAAAGTGTATATTATCAATAGTTTCATATAGCAAGGACAAGAGAATGGAAAACTATTGTTACATCAGCCAATTCACCGATCGTTCAAAGAAGCTATCGCTGTCTAGATGATTTCACACTGTTCCGATCATGATATGCGACAATGTTAGTAGTATGAGTAAATAGATGTTATTAATTAATTGTGTCACTAGTGTTAGTGTTAGAAGACTGTAAATAAATTACATTACATTATTAAAACTGTCATAGACAAAGAGGAAAAGGAAGCACCAGGGAAATACATAAAAACACACAACAAAAATAAACCGGGACTGACGACCGAACCATTTTTTTGTGTCAGAAATTTATATTGGACACAAAAAGTTTGTTATTAGACAGTAGTTATTAAATCTACTTCTGTAGATATATATCTCGAGAATATCTCTACCAACTTCGTACAATTTTAGTGGTTGCTTATAACCGATGCACCACTTGTAATAACATGCATGTAATTATAAAAAAGAAATAATTGGCATAAAAATCTGTTAGGACCAAAAAAATTGACGTAACTGCAGTAAAACTTTTCACATTCAATGCAATTACACCAAATTTTTATGGTTCTTTAAATTGTCGTTAATTACGTGCAAGATAAAAAAAAAGAAAATAAAGAAAAAGTAAAACTCACGAGCTGAAGTGCTTCTCTGAAGAGGTATTTTTGCACCGGAAATAACCAAGTTCCTGCTTTGTCGCGTTCTTAATTAACTCCACGGCTTTTAACAGATTATAATTAGGATGAAAATAGATACAAAAAGAAAAAAAAATAAATGCGATGATCGACTTTAAATGAAATAGGTATCTAAAAATATGCTGATAGTTGATATTTATTAATATTAAAT